ACGTTATCATCGTCATCGATGCTTATATGCACGGATCGTATCGCGTCGTCGTCGCCGTCGTTGTCACTGTCATTGTCGTCGCCGTCGTTGTCACTGTCATTGTCGTCGCCGTCGTTATCAGCGTCGTCATCGTCAGTGCCACCATCGTCGTCGTCATTTGTCGTTCGACGGTGTTTGGACTCGTCGGCCAAGTCCCCAGGTTAAAGCTTCGTAAAAGACATGTCAATGTCAACATCGATAACGACATCGCGTGTGCCTCGATCGCGGCAGGCGCAGTGACGATTTCCGTCAGCATACTCTGATGACGTCAGCCGCGTTGCGATATGATGGAGTCCATCAGAAAATGGTTTTACAGGCCTAAGGTGAATACGTTGTGTATTTTGTGTATTTTGCTCCGATTTGCTTGCGATCATTGTTCTTTATAATTCCCTTATTCTTATCTCTCCACATATTCATTATCTTTATCTTTGCTGTTTCTCTCTCTCTCTCTCTCTCTCTCTCTCTCTGCTGCGTATTTTTATTTCTCTTTCTCATCTCTATGAATTATCACTTCATACTTTCGCTGCTTTGTCTCAGTTTGCTTTATTAAGTTTCAATTTAATTTCTCGGTATGTTCCTTTGATTTGTTCTTAATGGTATGTTTCTCTGAAATTCGTGCCATGTTTCAAGAGTACATCTTTTACTATCATTGAATAGATTCTATTTTCTCTTTCTTTCGCCTCTCGCCCCGCCGTGCCGATCGAACGCGTGCGCTCTTTTCCCTCTCTCGTTCTCATCGCGACACAGAGACTTCCCGAACGCTGTTGCCACCTGTTTTGTGAAAATTTCGCACGACACGAGGTGCGTACGTATATACGGTACTGCATATAGACGCAGAGCATCGCGTAATACATGCACGTTGCGAGCATGAATTCATCGTTCTCGCGAAATCATTGAGAACGGTCGTCGGGCATATTGGAAAGCATCCAAATATCCTATGGTTTTCTCAGTGAAAGTCGACGCACTCGCAAGTTTATTCGATTTGTATCCCGGATTTGTACACCGAATTATCAAGTATCTCACTTCCGTTACAAAGTTCGGGCGAGTCATGTCCTTGCGACGACTTCATATGCTGAGCCATGCTAATCAATCGAATTGAAATAAAGAATCCCGAGAAATCATAACTTCGTACATTAACGTCACAAATTAATATGTGGCACAAGCACGTAGTTTCTACTCCCCGCTCTTCTCCTCCATTTCATTCTCCGCATGTTACATCGCACGAAGTCTCAGCCTCATTTCTATCAATACAGAGTAACTTTAATCTCGGTTCAATTTACTTTTTATCTTTCCATCAGAGTAGATTACCTATAACTTTTATAACGGTTTAATTTACTCTTTATCTTTTTTTTTTCTCCCCAGGCCCACATTTCAACTAATGTATTATAGATTAATATTCTCGATTTAATTTATTACTCTTTAACAATAAATATAAATAAGTTGATTTACAATTCAAACGGTAAATCAAAAGGGCATATACCACAACGCAAGATATCGGTAGCGAATATTTTATATTTGGATTTATAAAAATTAATTAAATGTAAACGTTTATTACTCTTTATCTTTTTATTTCAGATTTATTTCTATCAATGTAGATTAACTTCAATTTACTCTATATCTTATATATTTTTTTATTCCCAGGTCTACTTCTACCAATGTAGGTTAACTTTGATCTCGGTTTAATTTACTCTCTCTTTTTTTTCGTTCTCAAGTCTATTTCCATGAATGTAGATTAACTCTAATCTCAGTTTATTCACTATTTATTTTGTTTTAGCTTTAGAATAAGACAAGTTAAACCGGGATTAAAGTTAACGAAGTCTACATTGATAGAAATATGTAACGTATTGCGAAAGTAAAATATTCTACTCCGAGATATTGTGTTTCTCGTTTTATGTCAGATCATGTTACTAAAAAAACATATTTTAAACACGTTTCAAGCAATTTAAAACTGCTCAATTGATATTTTTAATAGGTTTTAATACACGTTTTTTTCATAATATTGCAGTTCAAATCACGTTTGAAGCATTAAAAACATATTTAAAAAGAAACGCAATTTATGTTTTATTCTTAAAAAAAAGAACCGTTAAAAATCCTCTTTGAGAACCATGTTTTACTCCCATTAAATTCTCTATCTTGTATTATGTTCATCGACTGAATTGTATCGTGCTAAACTGGGAACAGGTATCCTCTAGGATATAGGAAGTGTTACGCTTTCGCGTAATGACGCTTTATTAACACCGTAATGCACGCCTGCAAGCCATGTTACAAGTCAATTAGTAATTTATGCGGGGAGAGAAATAAAGGACGGTGGGGGAGGGAATTGGCCTTCTACGAATACCACAGAAATGGAGCGAAACGCTTTGTACTGATTGTCAGGCTGAAGTGCTTAAAATTAACCAGTATATCATAATGCCGCATGTTATGTTGCGCAAAACATATCTCTTGTTGACAGGAATAGTAAATTCTTCAATGATAAATTCTTTTAACAGAAAGGCAAATAACGAAGACAGAAGAGTTGTTTGGTTGGGTAAATTAATGTTCACAACGGGACAAAATGAAGTTTTATTTTTTAATATCATCACGCGAGATATGGTACGATAAGATCATATTTAATCGCCTGAAGTGAAATTATCGATTTCTGACAATTGGCGTGCAGCAAAATATTCCACGTGTACTATCTATTTTTTACACTGTTTTTTTTTTCTTTCAAACGCGATTCAATATTTCGTATCATGACAATAAAGATCAACATGTCAAGTGAGATATACATGAAGGCCAAACCGAATGAAAATAAATGAGTGAATGAAAATAAATGCTTAGATCCAATTTCACAACACACGGTTAACTTTTAATCGAGGTTCAACTTTTTTATTCCTCATCTCTTTCCAATTCTTAGAATTCCAATTCTTAAATTGATTAAGAGTTAACCGTGATTTGTGGAACTGGACTTTAGATAGTATTGCAATATTGCGGAGAGAAGAATGTCTCCGTGAGAAATTTCTATGGAAGATACAGCTCGTACGAGATGTTGCCGAAAAGAAAATATGTAAATTAAATAGCTGTTTTTACGCGACGCTATTAATAATTGAAAAAATGAGCACCGTTTCATACGACCGTACGACATTGTCTTATTCTAGAAAGATTCAGTTGCTGCCAGGGTCATCGATTTCTCATTAATTATACACGGAGTATCCAATGTCATTCTTTGTAGCGTTTCGTACACTTGAAAAATTCGGTGTGGATTTAACATCACATTCGGTGTCTATATAATTTTCACTGTGTTACTTCATAGGCATTCTGGATCTTTTTTGTCCAGCCAAATTTTTTTCTTTATGTTCTTACGGGCTTTCAAAAATCTAGAAAAATTCATAATTACTTTTCAACATTTCTGCTACATTGCCAAATAATTCTTTTTAACTCAAATGTTAAAATTTTATTTAATAAAAATTGAAATTTGTGCCAAGAAATTTAAGAATGAAATTTCACCTGGGTAAAAAACCCAGTGTGCCTACGAAGGATTAACATTAATATGATATCGATTTAACATCATAGGTTTTAAATCTACAGGATAATGTTGATATAAAAATCAGAGATTCACATATTTGTCAATACGATGAGAAAAAAAGTTGTTTAAAAAAAAATATTAGTTGATTCGACTAAATGCAATGATTATGGGCTGTCAAGCAAATATTTGTTAATTCAAATAAATAACATGCTGGTATGACTCATGTGTATTTAATTTAAATATATACTTGGATTAAATAACCACTACGAATTAAACACATTTAGTTAAGTTAACAACTTTTTTTCTTAGTGTATTAATACCAACATGACAAGAATTATATAAGGTGTTTTCCATTTAGTGACACAAATCGACACAAACAATCTATTTTTCTTCGCATTCCATAAGTAACAAAGACAAAACATACTTGTGTCGATGTGTCACCAAATGGAAAATCTATAGACATCGCATGGTGTTAATCCACACCTGATATTTTTTAGAATGTAATAATAAATGGATAATGGATAAAATCGTCGAAAAAAGCAGTGTTTAATTTTAACATATTAAAATGTTTTGTTCTTATCTCCGTTTTTTAAATACTTAAAGATGTTTGAATTTTTAATCTTTTTTAATAAACAAAATACCATATATTTATTTGGATTTAAAATACTAAGACCCGATTGCACCAATCAACGTTACTTTGACTTTAAGCGAAACTAAAAAATCTCTCTTTCTTTTTTTAAAGTTAAAAGAGAGACAGAGAGGAAAAGAGTTTTATGCCTCGCTTAAAATTAAAGTAAGTTGGTGCGGTCGAGCCTTGAAGTTTAAATTTGAAATATATTTTATTATTAAACGTTTGTTTTACAAAGATGTTTTTAATATAAACATTTTAAACACTACTTTCTACAGTAATAATTGTATGTATATGAATTATACGATACGATCTATTTTATTTGGTAAAAGAAAATTAATATATGCATGACAGGAACAAAGGGAAAAGAACGGACGCGGAGTAAAATAAAGATGCATAGGGATCGCGGTGATATAGGGTGGCGACAAAAAAAGAGAGTCAACGGGATGAGTCACAGCGACGCTTAGTATTTTTTTTCCGCATACGATGACATCGCCCGCGAAATGAACGCGAAGTGTATCCGCTGCACGGTAGAATTGATCGGTGTTTTCTCGACAACTACAATCGCTCGCTTGATGAATGCGACGATTTAAAGTATTCTTACTCGATTCTTGTACGTAATGCGAAAATGCATTCACTCCTCGCGCATTGAATTCGTTAATCATTGTAGTTTGCGGGTGACATTCGTCATTTACCTGCCGACGTCCGACGTTGAAATATGCAACTTTCTAGTAAATTGTCGTTGTTGTGCGCTCAGCAAAACTGTAAAGCAGGACGATATTTTGAAAGAACAAGCGGACGAGAGAGAGAGAGAGAGAGAGAGAGAGAGAGAGAGAGAGAGAGAGAGAGAAAGAGTAGTACGTTGGAATTGTTCCTCTTTCTCTTTATTTCTCTCTGTCGGATGACAGCGATTATGGTCGTAAAATAGGTCACAATTAATTCGCTCAAATGTGGTTTCCGAATGGAGATGATACAAAATTAATTCTCTAGGTCAATAGTCATACGATGTTAGTGATTACAAATATTTTGAGTCTTTCTATCTTTTGTTTATTCTTGTTTTATTTTTCAAGTTGAAAATTACACTATTTCAAGGTGAGAGATATGACTCAAGAGAGGTATGATAATATAATCGTTCAATCATCAGTGTAATTGAACACGTAAAACAAGTGTTGACACAAGCCGATTAAACGATCGATGTATCATCTGGTATTTTTGCATAACGCTACTTATCGTGTACAATTTAAATCGTTATGAATTTTAAAAACAAAAATATACATATAGATCGAATTGAGAACCTCCTCCTTAAATCGGTTAAAAAAGAACGTCCTCTTTGTTTTTGAAAGTAAAAATGAATTTTTTTTCTTTAAATAAAAGAAACAGCGTTTTAATGTTCGTAATAAAATCGCTGATTGTTCGTACATGTCTCTCTGTGAATGTGTCTCAAATTAGTCTGTATTTTTGCAAATTTTCCAAATTTTCTTCAAGAATTCTCTGATATTGTTTAATGAAGTCCTTTAATAGCGCTTACGTTATCTTGACAATATCGAATTTTTATGTTGGTGTTGCTATCATTGTATTGTAGCAATTTCCTTGTGTTTAACATCTCAACAAGATTTGTATATACATATGTAAGTTTGAGAACAATTTCTAGTTGAAAATGGACGAACCAGAAGATTTTGATGACATTAATCAGTAGCGGGATTCTCTAAACATCTTATCGATGATTGTCGGTATTATTAACTAGCAACAGCCAATGGTAGGATAATCCTGAAAGAAAGCGCGGCATTCATTGGCTATCGCTAGTTAACGATAGCGATAATTGTCGATAAAACGTTTAGAGAATCCCGCAACAGAACTCTGGTCATCGTAATTGGACATCTGGTTATCTCAACTAGAATTCTAATCGATATGATCAGAATCATATTCAACTAGAAACTCTTCTAGTTCGTCTATTTTTCAACCAGAATTTTCTTCTTAGTACTTAGTCAAAAATAAAAATACACAAGCATTCATTGATGCAAATGTAGTATTAAAATTTTGCGTATAGGTTTTTTTTAGGAAATTAAATAGTCGCAAACTTGGAATATTTTGAAATACTCCTTCAGTGATAATACACTTTGAGCGTAATACGCAATACGAAAAAACTTTCTGCGGAATTATCGGAGTAATTGCTGATTATCTTTTACCTTACGATTACAAAAATGGACTTATAGATACGATACGTGTACAATGTTATATATCGCGCTGAATTTTCTCCTTCTCGTCACGACTGATGCCCACGTTTCTATCAATATAGATTAACTTTAATCTTGGTTTAATTTACTTTTTATTTTTTTCTAGTTCAAAGAATTAGAAAAGGATAAAGAATAAATTAAACCGAGATTAAAATTAATCTACATTGGTAGAAATAGACATGAGTATAAAGTTTTGCTCATTTAACTCTCTCTCTCTCTCTCTCTCTCTCTCTCTCTCTCTCTCTCTCTCTCTCTCCCATCATCATTGTAATTAAATTATTTTTTGTTTTAGAACAACAGAGAGGTACCCGCGTGCTTCTTTTTTACATGTAAAATTTTTTAAAGAGAAGTAAACGAATTAAAAACGTTTCTGTTTCGAACACAAAATCCCGAAAACAAAACGATTAATGTAATTGTGCAGTTTGCAGTAATAAAAAGAATAAATGTTCTCTCTTGCTGAGCGAATAAAATTTGTTTCTTCTTACACAAATTGCGGTGCAATATTGTCCTAGTTTTACGATATCGATATGAGGGATTAATCGATTTATTTGTCACGTTGCGTGTATAAGCATGATTCCTGAGTCATTTCCAGTAGGACATGATTCAATAACAAGTACATCCGTATCGTGACAAACGTTGCACCGTCATGAATATACGTGCACCTAAAGCATATTATTATTATTAGCACGTTATTGAACAGCATTAAATTAATAGTATTATTATAAGTAGGAACAGGGAGTAATTTCTTCTTTTATGACCTTCTCACTATTTTAAGTAAGACTATTTTTCTATTTCTGCGGGAATAATCTCAAAATTTAATTAAAAAAAGAAATTGAATGCTATTCTATTGTATAAATGTGACCCTTTATTATTATAAATGTATTTTTTATAACATTCTTATTTGTGCGTCGATAAGAACAAAACTAAATCTATATTTGAACTTTGCACAATCGGTGATCCATAAATAACGAGTTTATACGCGCAATCGACGATTTATCTTACTTTTAAATATATTTCATTGAATAAATCATTTTTTCTATACGTACCGGCTGCTCTTAACTGCTCTTTTCCTTCAGTCGCGTTTTAATTAATATAAATTAAAACCTTGATCGCATTTTTCGAATCGGATTCCGCGTCGTAATCGGATTTAAAGTCGGTTTTTTTTTTCAAAACGAGGGATTCTGTATCGCCGCTTTCGTCAAAACGTACGTGTCGAGCATTTGAATACGATTTAGAGCTTACAGTCATCCCATGACCTATATTGGTCACAAAGTGTTAAACTCATTATTTTGAAATACTACGCTACGTTATAATAATACAGCGATAATTCTGCTGCATCCTCGTAGGTTGCCGACATTATTGTTTTCATTATAAAATTCAGAATAAAATTCTCGTTAAATAAAATTTCACAGACGATTAAGGATTAGTTCCACAATTCAAGGTTTACTCTTAACCGAAGTTCAACTTATTCCTCATCTCTTTTCAATTCTAGAATTGAAAAGAAATGAGGAATAAGTTGAATCTTGGTTAAGAGTTAACTGTGAGTTGTGGAACTGAGCCTAAATCGATTTTACCTTTTACACCCTATATCTATATCCGACGTCAAATGGGTAGTACAAATTCATTCAACAAGAATAATATAGAAGGTTTTAACTGCGTCCTTTAATCGTGACGTGGGTGACCCTTTTATTATACGTAGGCGCAATTAGATGTGTCATTATTCATATGTGTGTGTGTGTGTGTGTGGCTTATTAGTTTATTATTTATAGATACCTCAAACGCATATCTATAAACAGATTTATTCTTTACAAATATGCGGATAGAAAATCTTGTTTTTTAATTCCGAAGAAAATATGATTCAAATATTTCTTAATTAATTTCTTTGAATGTCGACACATTACGAACATTTAATTTTTTTAAATTGACTTATCTAATCAATTCTCTTTATTTTGTTCATACAGAGGGATGACACAAGTCTACTGGCTCAGTTCTTTTATGCTGATGAGTCTCTGAACGCAGTCGCCTGCGAATTGGACTCCTTCGATGGTCGACAAGAGCCGGAGAGATGCACGACGCTAATGAACCAGTTGCGACACTGTCAAGATAAGGTCCTGACGATCTGTAATCAAATAATGGATGATTTGATCCCCGAAAGCCGCGCCAATCGGGACTTCCGGGTGAAATTCCCCGATGACGTGATGCAGGAAAATTTGGCCGGACAGCTCTGGTTCGGCGCAGAATGTCTGGCGGCTGGTTCTTCAATCATGAACCGGGAGGCCGAGAGCTCGGCCATGAGGCCGTTAGCGAAAGCTCTCACTAAGTCGCTGGAGATTGTTAGAAACTTATTGAGAGAGCATGCGCTCAAGGGCCACATGAATTTGAAGGTATTAGACATATCAGTAAAATTCATAATACGAAATACGAATTGTCATTGCAATTTTAATATTCTTATATAGTGCGGAATAAATGAAAGATATTCTCTAAAATCCAAACTTTGGAAAGAAGATAATTGTCATTCTTCAATTCTTTTATTTATTAGTTTGCATAAAGTCTACTATTTGACGAGTAATCAGGCGCATTAATAGTATTAATTTTTCCAGGCGCAAAATCCTCTCGAACCATCGCTGGAGAAGCTCATCGAGTCGTTGAAGATCTTTGATCGATTGTTTGCCGATTTTGAGCTATGTTATGTTGGCGCTATGGTACCAGTGAAATCGACAAAGGAGTACGAGCAACAGGAGCTCGTATGCGTATTGTTTTCAGAGACTTTGCAACGAGCGCTTGAACGCGGATTATTGGACCAAGCGGATGTAGATAACTATGAGCCAGCTTTAATGTTCACTATTCCTCGTCTGGCTATTGTCTCAGGACTTCTGGCACCTCCTGGGGGACCGTTGTGTCTCAATTCGCCTGACACCATAAGCGAGATGTTTAGGCCATTTAGAGTAAGGAATGGACTTAAACCTTTATTGCTGATTGTAATCTCTCTCGAATTTGTTTAAAAATCCTGTATGTATAATATGCACATAGGAAGGTGAACTTAGTTTTTTCAATTTATAACAATGATCAATATTCATTTATTTTTACATTTAGCCATTTTATAGTTATCTTTATCTATAGATTATCTGTAGTATTTATCTTTACATTTAGTATTTAAATGTCTTTTTACTTGACACTCACAAGCACAACAATTTTCAGACTCTTCTTCTCAAGATAAGGGAACTATTATGGACGTTAAATAACCGGGAATTATATATGCTGGAGAAATTATTATGTTCGAACGAGGAGCCATCAGGCTCGATTACACAGTCGACAAAATCGACATGTCAGGACATACCGGACTTGGAAGAATACGTTCATAATTTTTATACTGGTTATCCGAACTGCAAAGAATTTATAGTTGATTTCTACACCGTGACGAGAAATACTGGCAACAACATGGACGAGATAGCGAGTGATGCAGTTCAATCGTTGAACGAAAGTAGAGGCGCAAAGTTATCGGGCAAAAAGCGTGAGCAAAATAGAAGTGGTCGTAAAAAGAAAAAAAAAGTGGAAATCGAGCAGGAAGATTTAAATATATCCTCGGATGGGTGTGATAGTAACGTAATATGTGAAAGCGCCGAAAAGATGGAACAAAGTAATGAGGAAAGTGTTGGTGAGCAAATGCAATACGAATGGGAACTATCTGATGCTTCACATTATATTGAACAAATTCTTCGTGACTGTGATTTAATTTCTAATGATGGGATCGAAGTTAGTGAACCCACTTTGATAATACAGAATGACGTTATGATATTAGACGATGTAGCAGGAACCAGTGCTTCAAATACCATCAAGGATATTCGGGAAGAAGAAACCTTTATTACTCCCGACTTGACTAAAATGTTCGAGGAATGCTCGGACAACATAGAAATTCCACAGACGCAATATTTGCTTAATCAAGTTACTCACGAAAATACCACAGATACTGAGGCCACGCACATATCCGAAAATACTTTCCCCGAGCAAGACTCCAAGAGACTTATATCGGAAGCGAATAAAACGCTCTCAAATCTTCTATTGGACTCTAATGAATGCTCAAATGAGATTTCGGAACAAACAGATTCTGGCATATGTACGGTAATATCGTCCGAGAACACCAGTTTGTACGACAAGAGTCCAGAAGAAAAAAAGACTTTTGCTAACGAGATTCAGCAGGAGGGTTGTGATGTATCGGACGAAGAAGATACGCAGGAGAATACCAGTTATTCTTGCTCCAATATGAATTCACCAAAGAAACAGAATCCTGCCATTTCGGAGAACTCGTGTGTCTGCGGTACGAAAAGCACTAACAAAACGCCTACTTTGGATCGTTCGATTAATTTATCTGATTTGCATTCGAACGGAGACAGGGAATCTGTCAGCAAAAACATTCCACGAATATCGTCGAACTTCAATGGCACTAATGAGGAATTTATTGGCGTTGCATATGGTAACGGTCAATTGACTCTCTGTGATTCCAATCAATCCACCTTTCAGATAAACTATTCTGAGAATTGGGAAAATCTCAATTTGAATATAGACTCATCAAGTTCCAGAAAGGAATTCTGGGGTGACTTAAAATGTGAGAATTGCCCGTCCACCTCTCGAAGTATTGAGAAAATCGACAGTAAAATTGAAAGATACACGCAGGACAAAATGAGAAGAACGAGAGATGAAAAGCAACGGCGGCGACACCAGCATAAATTGGAGCGAAACACGCACAAAGCTCACAGTAGATCAGGAGAGAAGAGACATAATCTGCAGATTATGCGGGCGGCCACAAGTACCGAAAGCTCCAGATCGAATTCCACGGATCGATGTTTGAATACTAGATTAACCAACTTCGGCGCTAGTTTACATCTTCAAAGTACTAGACAGATGCCAAATTTTAGCAGTCGCAGTCCTCACATAAGCCCGCGACTTCAACATTTCGAGTCGCGCGGACAATGCTGCTGCAATCTCGGTACGCATTGCATGAATAGACATTCGTCGCCACAGAGCAGAAAGTTGTTGGATCACAGAAGATCCAAATCCGAGCAAATAGCTAGAATAAAGAAAAGGGATGTCGAGAAGAAGGAAAGATATGAACGAGATAAATATGCGCGCTTAGAACATAACAAAAGAAAATCTGGAAGCGGAAGTAATCTAATGAATGACGGATTAGGCCCAAGGACGGATAAGAGCGGCTTGGTATCAGAGATTTCAACTACTCCGCAGAGTATAATTTGTCACGAATATCAAGGTACAAAAGATAATAATACGCACAGATCTGCGCGCGCGATGAGATTAGTTAACGCATCGACAGTGTCCGGCGTATCGAGTTTAAATTCCCATCAATCTTCGAAACCTGATGTAGCATCAAGTTCCAGTTGTTCAAGCTGCTGCGATTCGAGTTCGGAAACCAGCGAGTTTCATAGCGACTGTCAGGACGATGAAGAGATTGCATTAGCGATGCAAGCCGCTGAGATCGCAAATAGAAATCAAATAAGAGCAAAGTTTCGGTAAGAGGATATTGTTACTTTATTCATGTCGTGTATAAATGATAGTGTAATTATGCGTCAGTCTATTGGCATCTTTAACAGACATTAATATTTGTTATATTAAAACTTAAAATAATTTACTAATCTTGATAATTGATTATTTTACAAACATTTAATATTCAGTCTTTATATCTTTTTAAATATATTTTTGCTTTATTTATAAGCTTTGTGTATTTTTTTATATTTATATATTTCTATTTTTTATGTTTTTTTCTTTATTAATGCATTCTTTTGTTTTAATATAAAATGTTTTAATATAAGATATATTTATATAACTCTTCCAAAATAAAATACTATTATTATTATTACATTTTCAGATCCTCGGAAGATCTTGTCCATCGTCTTTTCGTTTGCATAGCAGGTGTGGCGGACCAGTTACAAACAAATTTCGCATCGGATTTGCGGAACATTTTAAAGTGTGTTTTTCTCATGAATAGCAGTCAGGCAATAGAAGACACCGAAGAATCAAAAGAACAAAATGTATCTTCCACAGCAAATGCATCAATAGATACGGCAGAGACAGAGAGTATTCATGAGCGGCAAGAGTCGTTACCAGAATACGAAGATGTAGAGGAAACCACTTTGATACACGATCGAAGTATGAATATGTTGACATTTTCATTTATATGAATTTTATTTAACAAATATATGTTTACCCATTATTAGTATCTGAACATAAAAATTGATCTTTGTGTATTTATATGAATTTTAACATTGAAATTTTATTAAATATTTAACTTGAAATTTTGGTCTGAAAAATATAAATCTAAATCATAAATAATATAATAAAATATAAATATAAATAATAAATAATAAACTTGTAACTGTAAAAAATAATCATTGTAAGATAATTTGTACAGATAAGAATACAAATAATTTTAATGTTTTAGTTTCAATTTGATATGAAATATGATCACTATAATTTCTTCTTTAATTTCTGAATAAAAATTAGTCTTATGGACAGAATATATTCAAAAACTTAAAGTTTTTCCCAAAAAATAAATATTTAGATATTATTTGATATATAGTTAAATATAAAAACGTTATATTATACGACATATAATCATGTCTCTTTTTTATTTCTATAGCTTCTCCTGTCACTGAGAGGGGGGAGGAATGCGTCGAAAGAGCGCCTGCTTGGATACCGGACAATGATGCACCAAGGTGTATGGCCTGTCAAGCCGGATTCACAGTTGTGCGACGTAGACACCATTGCCGAAATTGTGGTAAAGTGTTCTGTGGTCGTTGCAGCAGCAACAACGTTCCACTGCCTCATTTCGGGCACACAAAACCTGTGAGGGTGTGCAACAGGTGTTTCCTGTATCAAGTAACGCCTTTTACGGTCTCTCAAGTCTCGCCCACCAGATGAATATTTCTGAAATGGCTTGTAAATCCAATTATTTTAATTCCTTATGCGATACACTTCCTTTTTAATATACAAGACATTCGTGCAGATTTGACAAACATAATTTTTGTGATAAAATAAGTAAATATTCCTGTATTCTATAAAAACAAACCTTAAATCTCGTAGAACATGTAATTATGTGATACAATCGTCCGGTGTTAAAAAGTTTAGTTTAATGAATTAACCACTGCTTCGTTAATCGAACGTTATTCAAATTAGGAAATTGAAATAAATTTTTAAATTACTCGAGTATTTATATACTCATCTTTTCCTTTTTTATTTCTTTAATGATATAAAAGTACATTAAATATATATTAAAAAATCTAGTGACATATTGATTTATCCAATTCTACATAATTTGTAAAATTTGTAAAAAGAGAAACTACAGAGAGAGTGTTTGTATAAATAACGAACAGAAGAATTGGAGGAAAATCGTTGTCACTAAATTGCTTTTGTGCATTATTTATATACTTACGTGCACTTAATCTATAAAATTAGATATATAAACGTTAATAATATTTTTACACATCATGATTAAATATTTCTTAAGAAAGCGTTAATCTAATTTGTAATAGTTGTGATAATGTAATTTGATTTGGGTATATGGTGTAAGATTTTTTATATTGTATGTTCATTTCATTATTCATTTAAGAAAATTCTTAAACATCTTTGTTTAAGCAATTGTATAGAAAATCATTTTCAAGCTCTTTTGTATATTATTATTATACTTAATTATTATTGTCACTATTTTTTTATTATTCTCGATTAATTTCAATTCTTATATATTGATTAAATTATAATTATTATTAATTTTTTTATTTATCACTATCCAGAAAATTATTATAAACTGGTGATTTATTTCTATCAGATGTGTGTGATAAAAAAACCTTTCCCGCGTTCTGTATTCTAAAATAAAAAAAATACGATTAATATGAATACACCATTAAATTATCGATATATTTATAGCAATTACAAGTGTAAATAATATTCTTGATACATGGTCATAAATTATATGACATAAACAAATATTATTTAGAATTATTAAAGAAAACATGGAGCACACACATATTTAAAAACATTCGAACTTAGATAAAATATTAGTTCTAAAATTTCAATGTATAAGTAATGAGCGTTGTTACATCGCTGTTGTCTTAATATGAAAATTCTTTACTTTCAGAATATCTAGATTTCTCGTTACAATAATCAAAAAATTCTATTCAAGATTTACGTGTTTCCGGTTAGGCTTGATTGACAATCGACAATTGATTATCCATGGAAAGCAAGCTTCCTAATGGAAGTGTAAGACTTATACATTACTTTCGAAGCGTCAAATTATATATGTATAGTGTACATATAACTGCGTAATGTATAATGTATAAATGTGTGTGGGAATACGTATGCACGTTTAAACGAATAACGATAAGAAAGAACAGAATTAAAATTTCGCATTCAGTAGTTGAGTCATATCGTAACTTATTACCGTGATAGAATTTCTAAGCGTCTACTGCCCGCTGGAGAGTTTTGGAGAATATACACAGGTGCATTAGCACACACCACTAGCTCCTGTGCCAAATTTACGACAATAAGTTTCCTCTTTCTTATATCTCGCATAAATTTGGTTCCTACTGGAAAGCTCGTATACAAGATACTTCCCATTATTGTAAAAGTATAAAACATTATGTTATGTCAAAAGTCTGGGGATTATAAGCTGTATTTGTAACAGATGACTACTCGGTATGATACGTGCACCCCACGATTGATAAAAAGACTGGTTGAATGTACAGATCTTTCGTTTATTAACGTTTCATGAATTTGTGTTTGTGTGTATGTGCATGCTGTGTGTGTATGTGCATGAATGTGTGCGTGTGTGCACGCGTGTCACAATTATATATAATACAAATTTCAAACAGATTTACATCGTTACCAATTTGATTTCTAATTATATTTTATTATAAGGAGAAATGTCAGTTTTCGCAAAATATAAAAAGATCATTAATAATTAATTGCATCAACAGTTTTTCTCAACAAATTTTTTTTTAATGAATTTTAATTCATTGTCACGTCAATATAAAAAAATCAACTTAAATTCAAAATAATTTAACAGTCAATTTTCTGACATAATATTTAATTTTTAAATATGATGAAATTGTAAACATAAATCAACAAAAAAATGAATTGACATCACGATTATGTATAAACAATTGTATAAATTAAATGATGAGTCGATTTACCGTTTAACATCACATAAAACAAGGACATTAATTGAAAGCGACTTATATCAATTAATCTGACATTTAGATATATAATTATAATTATCGATTTTCATATGGACGTAGCATGTAATAATGTTCTCTAAAATAACGAATAGCGATATTACTCAGCGCGGTCGGATTTGGAAATCGTTGTATATTATAATCGCGTGTGCGTATATAAACTACAGGACTTTTTAATAAAAAATTGTATAATGTCTACGGAACAGCGAAAATGCTTGTGAAAAGTTAGTAAGAGGGAGAAACAAAAAAGAACTTATTTCTATAAGGAACACATCGAGTAGGGAGTATACTTTTAGATTACAGATGTTTAGACGAAGTTATTTTTTACACGTAATCGATGCCTTGCTAGAATCGTGCTTTCAATTTTGAACGCGACAAAAAGCCTCTGGCTAAAAAAGTCTAGCAATTAAGCGCGAACCCTGCTAAGCATCTCATCTCCCTATATACGTGTGAATCATTTTGATAATCAGGTTTTCCCCTGTGCCTAAATTATCACAGGTATCAAACTATATTAATATTGGAACGCTCCGACGTACTTAAAAAGTGATGTGAGAGGGAGAAAAGATAATTCATTTGAAAAAATATTCCTGATGAAAAAATTTCTCAGCTTATATTCTCAAAAATTGTTTATATTTCAAATTTATAAAAATTTTTGAAAAAATATCTTAAAAAAATATCTTCTTTAAATTTTATAAATTTTATTTGAAAATTATAGAATGAGAAATTCTTAAAGATATTTAAGAATTCACATATATATGAAGAATTCTAGAAAAGCAGATTTAACATTTCTGAAAGTGTTGAAAATCGTACAAAAAAATCTAAAAATTTTTCTAAAAAGCTATAAGGCCATATAGAAATTTAAAAAAATTATACAAAGAAAATTCTGAGGAAAATTTTCACCAGTTATATCTTTTTTCTCTTTTTTTTCAAAGAATATACATATATAATAATATAATAAAAAAATTTACTATGTGATGTTTTATAAAAGGATAGTAAGAGAATACTGAAGTAATATATTGATAATAGATTCGATCAAAAATTGCTTCAGATTAATAGGGCTTCATTTTTGTATTAAACTTGTGTTAGTAAAGCTTGCTGGCATAATTTAATAAGTAAAGTATTATTAATTAAATTAATTGAAGATTTATTGCAATAAAAATTTTCGATGGAAATGTACAAAATTTTAATGGAAATGAAAGAGAAAAATAGAATTTATATTCTTGTGAAAGCAAAAAATTATTTCGTAAAGGACACGTACTTAATAGGTTCAATCTCAATTTTTACTCCATTATATGTATTATTGATATAAGGTATAAGAGATTGATTATGTAAAAAGAACTAAAGATAAATGGAAGCATAACAGTACTGTGTTCCAATTCGAGACAATTATAATAGAAAAGAAAAGAAACAAATTTTCTTTTCAATTCTCTTCCTTTTTTGCTTCTTCCTTCCCTCCCCCTTCTCTCTCTCTCTCTCTCTCTCTCTCTCTCTCTCTCTCTCTCTCTCTCTCTCTCTCACGTTCTGGATGTAAATATTTCGTGCAAGGCTTATATGAAAAGGACTGGAAGAAGAGTTTCAGTATTATTATAGTTCAGATCGCAGATTAGCCTGTGAATATGAAACGAAAAAAATAGAAAATGGAAAATAGATTGTAAAAAATTGAAGAGATAAAATGAGCTATAGGGTGGATCAAAAAACACGATGTTACGAATAAATTCAAATAAAGAGAAGCTTTATCATATTTATGCAAAATAAAAATGAAAAATATATATTTGTAATATATAATATTGATGAGATTGGTTGATGCTGACAGAATTAATACTACAAAAGATAATTAAGATTTACTTAACATAAACTATCTTAACAATCGTTTATCGATTACTGATTATTATGTCAGTTCTCTTTCGACGAAGTGATTTTGATCCACTCGATATATTGAGGGGCTTACGATTTGCCAGTTAATTAAAAAATTTCCAAGCGACAAAATGTACCCCTCTGAATTATTTTTGTATTATTTGCCTAAGTGTACGCAAAGAAACGTATTCTTAGTGCGTTTGATGTTTGATGATGGATCGTTTCGATAAGCGCATGATCGGTTTGTTGAAATAATTATCGGTAATCAATGACAAAACGACATTATTAATTGACGATAGTATTTGACACCGAATTCATTTGCAATCCATATCGGAAGGCTAACGATGTGTGTTATGTCACGTGTTCACGATTTTGACGAAAAAACACTTGTAGAATGCAATTATAGATGGATATGTATATGCGTGTGTTTATGAATATATGGGCATGTGTGTATGTATATGTGCGTGCAAATAACAACTGTTTGCAATATTACATCATGAGACGAAGCGTCTCTTTAATATTTGAATGCACTGTGGTTTCGGTAATGGATGTATTCAAACACGAATATAAATAAAGTTTGTTAATTAAAATATTTCAACTCCTTATTACTTTAAATATACCCACACAGCACAGAAAGATTTCAAAATGATTACATATATATCTTATTGCAATGTTGTAATATTGTAAATAGATTGCGCAATGTATTTGCGCGAAACTATTATTAAAAATAATTCTTTTTATTACTGTAAATATTTTTAATTACTGAATATAATTTGAAATATAATTTGTAATATAAATAAAAAATGCAGAAAAAGAACTAATCAATATATATTTTATATTATACATAATTTTATTTTTTTAGTGTTTAATGTAACGT